ATTGACATGAGTTATAGTAGATTTGTCTAAATGGCTTATGCTGTTCAAAAGTAGAAGAAAATGTCAGGAATGTTTTCAGATGTGGCATTCTTGGAAAGAAGATCTTCCTTAGTATTTCTTTTCCCTGAAAGTATCTGGTCGTTTTAATTTGTTGTCATACAAAGGGTAGAAAGTGGTTTGTTTCAGTGGCCCAGCAATTGCAGAGAGTAGTATTTGGGCCAGTTGGTTCTGAGTGTGTATACAGCTGTTATATTTGTGAGTCGTCCCACTGACTTTAACAGGACTCTTTATATGCTTAAATATATGGCTGAGGCTCTGGTTGTTGAAAACGATTCAACACATACACGGTGGTCTGTGGAGCTATTCAGTTGCTTCAGATACTTTAAGTTAAGCATGTTAATGAGCTTCTGCAGGAAGAGGGATTAAGTGCTTTCTGGCCTTGAAGTCAAGTGCTCCAATGTTAAGAGTTCAGTGGAACGGGCCATGGGGCAAATACATGGTCAGGGTTTTTGCCTCTGAAAAAACATGACAAAACGTTCCAGAAGAGTTTTTAAAATATTTGTATAATTAGCCACCGGCCATCTTGTTAGGTGTTCATGAGGCATCAGAAACATAAATAGATAAAACTGAAACATTTTGAATAAAAATGCTGGTAAAGTTGACTGAGAGATATTGCACGTTCATTCGTATTTAATCATACACTCATCTCAGAAGAACTAGGACTGTGAAAGAACTAGTTGTACCTAACATACTCTACTGTCAGATATGTGTGTGTAAATCTAAAATGATTTTGGCCACAGATAAAGCAAACATCTTTCTATGCTTCCAGAAGAAGTAATATGGATCTTATCAGTAATTCAGTAACCATTCTAATCAGTAATTCAGATCTAACTGTGGGCAAATGTCCTCTTGTTGTTGTTGTTAACTTGCTTGTATACAGTGACTACAGAAAGTACTATAGATTGCGTTTAAAAAATTGCTAAAAGCAATCTGAAAATAAGGCAAATCTAAAGTCAAACTCTTTTATATTACCCAGAAGGAAATTTCACGAGCAAAAAGGCAGCAAAGATGAGATGTTTGTCAGCTGTTTTGCAGAACCGTATTTTGGCCATGTGAAGTCCCAACAAGGTCGATTTTGTATAGGAAACAGTCTTGTTTGCTTCTGTGTTCTTCTTCTTTGGTGGTTGGTGTTAAATCTCTAGTTGAAAAAAAAATTTTCATTTTGGGAGACTTAAGACCTCAGAAGTGCTCAGACTGTAGTTCTTCAGTCTCTCATGCTATTGATTGCAAATTTAGACTAGGGAGAAAAAAAAATCTCTCTTCAAATGACAAAGTATCTGATGCAGTGGATTTTCCTGAATATGTACCTTTTTTCCAAGTACAGTTCTCTTATTCTGTGTATTTTTATGTGTCTGTGTGTTTATATGTGTGTATATATATATATATATCTAATTCATTACATTTATAAAATTGAGGGCTTAGCTGCTTTTGTCCTGCATGGACAAACCGCCATGTTTTAAAGATGGAACAGTTTCAGGTTGGACCAATTTCCTAATTGCTCCAGATGGCCCATTCATTTTCCTTATTACTTGTTTTGAACCTATTGTGCTAAGTATTAGGGCCCTGGGCCTGCAAACATTTGCTGGAGGCAACAGTACTAATTATTCTAATGCTAATAACTTGCACTCAGTTTAACTTGGGCTCAACCTCTGTGGCTTGGCCTACTTGTTTGTACTACCATTTGTGAGATAATTTAATTGCTGTTTGGTTTTCTACATCTCAAATGGTGCAAATAGACAAAATTCCGTTTATTTCAGTTTCTATTTACATAATGGCTGCATTAAAACACAGAATAATAGGGCTTAAAGTGGGTGTACGCTTCAGGATCTGCTTTCAACAGGTGTAAAGGAGCTGAAATATAAATACCATATAAGAAGTTATTGCTATTTTAATATTTCTTTATGGGCGCTTAGCAGGGGAGTTTCATATGATGATCTTGACGCTGGGAGAGAATGCTGAAAGTATTCATTTTTAAACGCTTTTGTTCTCCAGTCAAAGCACTTACTACTGACCAAAAAGAAGACTATATCAGCTGATTCTGTGGAGCAACAGATCCTCTCACTCGAAAGACAGAGACGAGAGGTAATCTTAAGTATCTTTCACAATTATAACCTCTAAGATAGACCTTACAATGTTAGTAATAATTCTAGGGCAGAAAATCGCTGAGCGTATTATCACCGTTGCTTACGCTGTGCATATGCTGCAACTGGTTTCACCAGCAAGTTCAATAAGGCCTATGATTTTTCTATGAAGATCTAGTCTTGCATGGTTGAGAGAAAGTTTCCATCTGGAGACTTTGTGTTGCATTTCTTGACAGCCTCAGGCCTGTAAGCACTTAAACTTATGTTCCAATGAATTCCTATAGTCCTACTTATATCTACCAAGGCAGGCAGAGTTACATTTGGGGAGCTGTTACAGCAGGTCATCATTTATTTTTAGTAACACAGCTATGAATCTAGAAGAACAGAAATTTGTGTGATACAGAGGGCAAACTTTCTTATTAATCTCTGTTGTAAAGACCGAGGAATCACTGTGAATAGTAACAAATAGAACCATAGTCACAGTAGCAGCAAACAAGAAGTTATTTTCTTGCTGAACTTCCTAAAAAGTGACCCTCTATCCCGCAAAGCAGCATGCTTCTGAGAGACCTGTTTGGCTTTCTGCAAATGCAAACTATAAAAATGTGTACGCGTGCGCACGCACATGCGCACACGCTGACTTTGCTCCTACTGCTTGCCTGCATGGTACTGGCCAATCTTCCCCGCCCTGCGTGCATAGGCTTGCTCAATTTAGTGGTACTGAAAAAGGCAAGCAGGGTTTGCACAAAGTAAAAATTCCATTTAGCAGGAGTCTTTAGTTCACATTGTTTGAAGTCAGTGACCTTTAAATTCTCAATATATGCGTGTAACTTAAAGCAAACTTAACAAGAAAGTCCATGGCCATTTAGGAGTTGCAGCTGGGATTTGTACAGTGTTACAAATGATTCACCTGTGGTTTACTGTTGCGTGTTTCCTTGATGTTGCTTCCTCAACATTCATGCACCTGAACCGAAATAGCAAAGAACTGGCAGATGGGCCATAAAGCTTGCCAAACTTTACACTTGCTTTTTCTGTTATAAGCTGGCCAGAAAATGAGGAGGTTGTGAACATTCATAGCTAAAAGATTAGAAAGCTAGCCTATTCTTTATTTATTAAGAATACTGAAACAAGGGTTGTTTACTGTGAATTCCTGATGACAATTACAGCTTCTGGAGGTGAACAAGCAGTGGGATCATCAGTTTAGAAGGATGAAACAGCATTATGAAAAGAAGGTAAAAACGTTGACTACTTCTGTTGGAATATGAATGCTACCTGCTGATAGTTAAGTCTGTGTGTAAATACCAACAAGCCTTAGCTCTAGTCGGGATCTGAAAAAATACTACCACATTTACTTTGTCTTTCGCTCACACAGAAAAAAAGCTTCATAACATAGAAGCGAAGCTCATGCGCATACACTCTTCAGTAGGTCAAAATGACTAGGGAAGCAGGTCATCTCTAAAACAGTAGGGAGCCGGGTGGTGAACATAACAGCAGAAATCTTCATGCCCTTCACAAGGTAATAGAAATTCCTCGCACCAGAAAGCACAATTCCCTAAAAATTAGCTTGCGGTGCCCGGGGTGCCCAGCCACTGAGCTTCATTGTTGGTTCATCTGTTGGTTCTCATCTTGTCTCTTCCACTTCCTCTTACCTTCCACTGTGGCTTCTGAAGCCTGGAAGCTCACTGGGGCTTACAGTTTTGTTTGAAATCCCCAAAAACAAGTTATTTCAGTGACTGACACGTCTCATCTCTTGTTCCTTTCTGTGAAAAGGAGGTTTTCTGTAAGTAAAAGAACAGTAAAACGGAGATTTCATAAGTGGAGATAGACCCATGTTAGCTGTCTTTTGGCAGCAAAATCGTTACTGGAGCCGGCTGGGTTAACGTTAGCAGAGAAATTGCCCAGAATCGTTAAGGATCTGCACTGCAGACAGAACAGCAGGGCTTGGAGGTGGAGAGGGGGAAATAAGTACTTGGAAACTTTATATCATACCAGATCCATTTCTTTACCCTAATCTGCTGAGAGCTGAGAGGAGTTGGAGGCACCTTAGGGATGCTGTGCCATTCAGGATCCCCACTCAGCCCATCACGAATGTTATTTGCTTTTCAGCTGGCAGAAATGAAAGCAAAACTGGACATGTCACAGAGGAGAGTCAGTGAGCTGGAGGAAGAGAGATACCGAAATCATCCAGAAAATGAGAGGTTGCGAGTCCTGGGCAGAGATGGGCCGTTGCAGGAAACGGTAGGAGGTTGCACTGTGTTACCCTGTTTGTGCTCAACGTTGAATGCAGTCTTGTCTTTTCTCTTTCTCTTCTAGTGAGTGGCACAGCGTGGGTTGTAGCATGGCAATTAGATGAGCTTGTGGTGTTGAGCGCCCTTCAATATTTATATCCAAGGCAGTGGCTGATCTAGTTTCTGATCGGAGGGCTATGTATAGAGAGACAGTCATTTCTATAGAAAGTGGCAGAGAACATAATATTACCATGTGTGGGGGAGTAAAGAGCAGATTGATATGAGTTCTGCAGAGATTTCCTTCCTAGCTGTTCAGTTTGTGGGTGAACTTCTTTGTGCCAAATGAAAGAAAACACTACAGTGATTTCAAATGAGATAGGGATGTCATTGCAGATGTTATACAAAATATCTGAGGATATATACCAAAGGAATGCAATTCAGCTCCAGGCACCTAAATTTTGATGTTGACAGTAGTGGCTTTTACATGTGAGCTCGCTATCGGAGCTGCCCTTAGAGATTAGAGGTGTAGTCAGCGCAGTCGTTAGTGTTCAAAACAATTCAGCCGATCAGCTGTAGTTGTCTATTCTAGAGAGCTGTTCAACTCATCCTCAGATTGGTTAGGCAGCTCTCCCAAGACTCCATAGGCCTCAGCTGAGGTGCAGACATTTGCATCTCAAGGTAGATCTTTCAAGCTGAATTCCCACCCAAGTAAACCCACCAACCTAAACAATCAGTAAATATACCTAAACAATCAGTAAATATGTCAAATGTATACGCAGAAGTTGGTGTTTGCCCTATCTTACAAGCGCTACAGGGCGTAGTGCTTACTATTCTTATGCGATTTCACGGTGCCTCACACTTTATAACCTCTAACATGATTTTATGGATTGAGTTCTAACAGCTGCAGTCAGGGTTCTCCATTCTTATGGGAAGCTTGATGACACGAAACAAACCTGAAACAATGTGGCGCATGCATCACTTCCATGCTCAGATAAGATGCATATTAGCTGCTGCAGGAAAAAAAACAGTGCAAAGACCTAAACTTTTATCTTCATAAGTAGAACACTCACCTTACCTGCTTATCTGTTATAGTGTGGTCTTAGTTAAGCATGGGATGAATTTCAAACCAATAGGACTGTTTACATACTTTAAAGCAAGCCATATCATTATGAGCTTTCTGAATCACTGCCTGTGTTTGCCTTTTCTGAGTGTGGAGTCGAGTGCAAGACAATCTTTCTGTCTTGTTCATACTACTGAGATTTTTACTGCCAACCCTTTAATATATGGCAGCTGTGAAAAATACTAGTAGCTACTTTCTGAAAGATAAGGGTGAGCGGTGCGATCTTCTTCTTTTTTTTTTTTTATTTACATACCTGAATAATGAATAAAATAATAGTATAATCCGAAAGTCTCTTAGGGGGATGGGGTAACCTGCTTGGATCCTTCCTTGGATCAGGAATTTATGAGTACGTTATATACTCAGGCGGCAAGTTTCTATTTGCTCTGAATTTCTTTGATTTATGGGTGTCCTGCAGGGATGAAGGAGGCCTATCCCTTTGCAGCTGGTAGCTGCTAAAGGGGAAAGTTTGAATGAGCAACATGGATGCAACAACCATGCCAGCATTTGTGCAAACTCATACTAGGCTATACTGCCCATGGAGTTAGCTAAAGAAAAAGCCATTTCAGGTGCTTATTCATCAAGATGCTTAAAGATGTGTTCAGCTTGAAAACATGTGAGCAGGTTTATTGCTTTGAGGTTCAGTAGATGCTGAAGGGGCCCAGGCTGATGGTTCTACCAAGGTTAGATTTTTAGGACTTTTTCTGCAGCAGCTAACATCCTTCATACCTTCATTTATGTTTTTTTAATCTTTATTTTTCTTTCTTGGATGACAACAACCCTTTTTCTTTTAAATGTTTTACTCACCTCCCTGTAGCTGTAGATCTGGGATAGGTTGCACAGGGCCGTTGCCAGAACAGAGTAATAATGTATTTCTTCTCTAATTGTTCATCTAGACCAGCAGCCTGACAGAACCTTTTGAATGTTTTTACTCAGACTAACTGTTCCCCAGGTGATTTGCTGAGCCATTAAGGTAAACCAACAGCAACGAACAACAGTGGGATAGATTACATGCTGCTGCTTATAGGGCTGTTTTTCCTTTTTGGAAAGGCTCTCCCAGAGTGATAATGTGAATTTAATTTTATCTGTCCGCATGTGCTCCATATCCCGCAGAGGAAAACTGGCTCTTCTGGAGATTTAAATGTCTTTTGTTCTCTCTAGGCATGAGCATGTACCCACCCATTGCCTATAAGGAAAGACCTAATTCCTCACTGGAATGTCTAGGTGCCATAACAGCTAAGACTGAATGTCAAATAAGAGGCAATAAGGCATAAGAATTCAGATGATTCAAAAACCTGAACAAACTGGAATTCCTTAGTTAAAAATGACCAGGTTCCTCAAGGTGTCACCGTATGAGAAGGAGAACATGTTCTAGGAGCTAGGAAAGAGAGTGGCAAATGCTAAGGGAAGAACAGAGTTAAATATCTATAAGGTATGTGTGTTGGGGGGGAGGGTTGTTTTTGTTTTATAGTATCTGAAAACACACATATACATATCAGCTTGAGTTAGCTCCTGGGTGAGATCCTGTACTTAAGTAATGCAGAAGTGCCCTACTAATCTTGCCCACTGTTTTGAAAAAATGAAATGGGACAAGTTACTTAGAGCAAAGGAAAATAAATGCATCCCATGTGAAGTGACAGTTTTTCCAGGGTATTTTTCAGAGGTTCAGTATGCACACTGTGATTTACTTCTCATGGTCCCAAACAGTAAGTACCTAGTAGCTTGCTGCACAGAGGTAAGCCTGTTGCACAGAAGAAGCATTTGTATGGTCTCCTGTGCCTGTGGCTGTTGGATCTTATTTCTTTATCACATAAAGCAGCTGCAGAGCGATATTGGAAATACTTTTCTTTTCTTTTTTTTTTTTTTTTGGCATAACAGGCCATTCTGTTATGTGTGTCTGAACAGCTTTGGCCTAAGACAATCTGATAAAAGCAGACTAGTGAGGGGTGTATTACTCTGTGAAAGAAAGGAGGGGGATCTTACACGGTGCCACTTACTTCAGGATCTGGTTCACATCTTAGCTCTCTGCATTGTAAATTGAAAATAGCTGCACTGAGAGCAATAGAAGAGGAGAATCAAATTTAAAGTTCCACAGATCCGTCCTACTAATTCCTATAATAGCGTCTTAAAAGACTAGTATAAATACCGTTGCAAGCAAGAGCAGCTTCCTGGTAAATTGCTGGGGTAGAAACAGGGTAGACACGGACACTAGGTAATGTCAAGCTCAAGTCAGCAACAACTGTGATGGGGTCAAAGAAAGTGAATTTTTAAGCTTGCATTTGTGGCTTTCTAATACTTGAGCAATACTTGACACCTGCCTCAGTTGTTCATATAGTGGAGAAAGCCCTCAGACTGTGTGGTGCTGGCATCTGGTGTTGTCTTCAATGTTGTATGGGAACAGCTGGATCTCTTCTGGTCTCTTGCCCTGGCCTGTGGCTCTCCTTATGCTGTGAGTACATGAGAATAACGCGGGGTCTGGATGATCTTCTATGTAGGCTACTAATCTCCTTGGCCTACCAGCTTTATCATGCCTTTATGCAGCTGCAGAGATTGAGGATTTAGTCTGATATGTTTTCTTTGTCTCGTCATATGGTGAGTGGTCAGAACAATCTCAAACTTTATCAGGTCAGTCTTTGATTAACCTTCTGCCTTCCTGTTGTGTCCCTTGCCAGCAGTTTTTGGCAGATCTGCCAGACAGCAGATATTCTGAAAATTGTTCCGGAACAATGTTTCCGTCTGCATTTCAGCAGCCTCTCTATATGTTTTTGTGTTCCAGAAAGACATAAAGGTCCTCACTGATGCCCTCCATGAAATTAAGGAAGAGAACAAACTCCTGAAGGAAAAAAATGCTTCAATGATAAGAAGGAAAGAACACTATGAGTGTGAAATAAGTCGTCTCAATAAGGTATGAACAGGAGTGAGCCACTGACTAGTAACTCTTCCTTTTATTATAGGGTCTCTGTTGTCAGGCACTGGCACTGCACAGTGCTTTCCTTTTTATTGCTGGATGAACATCCTGTTTATGGTAGCAAACTTGCAATCGCTGTTAATCCACAGGTCACTGATTCAGAGAACTGGGGAAAAAGCAAGAGCTTAATGTAGCTAATGCCTGTGCATGCTACTCTTTGCAGGTAGTAGGGTGTGCATTGGGAAGAGGAAAGCTGAGAAGAACTTTGGCTTCTCCTGTAAAACTTGCCTGTGTGTGGTATCTAAGCTCTCTTTAGATTCTCCCTCCTTAAAATGAGGAATAGCACAAAGATGCTTTCATATGCATCCAGTGAAACACTAATTTAAAAAAATGTTGGACAGTTTTAAAACTCTTGTTCTACATACATTCTGTATTTGAGAATAATGGCTCCTCTCCATAGGAAATATGCTCCTATCTTGTGTGTGTGTGTGTGTGTATGTATATCTATATTTATTTATGTTTATATACATATATATAATTGAGAGAATTGCTTTAAAATAGCTTAAAGGTTTGTTTTTTTTTTTTAATAGAGGGAAAGTAATAAGCATAACTTGGTTTAATCAGAAGATCACATAAAGCAGTGGGTGTTTTCTAGCAATTTTATATTTCATGGTGAACCACAGATGCTTCCTGAGGAAATGCACTGCAGTAACCATTACTGTGTAACTTTACATGATGCGCAAGCTAGAGCACCATGACGTGCAAAAGTCAAGACAAAAAAAGTAATGTTGCCATATACAAAAATCTACTTGAACTTGTGGTCTATAGCTCTTTTAAAATACAGTGGCAGGCAGGGCTTGCTCAAAACCTTAGTGTGACTTTCATTCAAGGCCTTATTTGTAAAACACCTGGCTTCAATGTTTTATTTTGCTTTATTATAATCTTCTAATGAAGTTGGGATTAGGATAGATGAGCAAATAAGCCACACTTTTAAATGAAATATCAGTTTTATGTAACACAATTCACTATATATGAATGTAATGCATTACTCATTTTCTGTGTATTTGCATTCTTCAAGTCTAGTGTCATGAGTACACATAAGACTGGAAGGGGGACCCTCTTTGTCCTTTTTAAGTCTAGTCCCCTGCTATTGCAGGTTCAGTGACTTGAAGTTCTTGTAAATTTTCATAAGTCAAACAACTTTTACCTTAAAAATACCTAAGCTGCTTCTACTGTGCTTCTCCTGGAATGCTATTCTAGAAGTGTAAGCCTTTTTTTGCTAGAAACTTTCATCAGTTTTGATCCATCTGAATTTATTCTGGCCAGATTATATTCATTTGTTCTCAAAGGGATCTGTTCCATTCCTTGCATTACCCTTGCTCTTTTCCTGTAGGTGCAAAAAGCAATCGTATTTTCTGTAGGGGACACTTTAGTTAGGCTAACCAAACTCTTTTGGTCTTTTAAAATACAACTATGCCTGCTAATATGTGTGGATCTTCATCTCAGTCTTTTAAAACTGATTCGCTCCCAGTTTGTGGATGTTGTTATTATTTTTTTTAAGGATATTACACTTTTGACTTTCAGCTTCATCTAACTTCAATCCATTCATCCAGAGAACCCAAAGTATTGTGTTTGATCTGATCCTGCTTTGATGTTTGCAACACTGAAGTGGTATTGTAATGCCGTAATAGTTTTCAAAGCCATGAGCCAAGTTTGTTGACTTTCCTATTGCCGTTTCCTTGTTCACCATATAGTTCAAGTACTAGCCGCGTTTATCTCTGACTTAATAACTTTCCTTGGGCACCATCTCAAATGTGTACATTAAAACGTAGGCTGATGAGCTCGAGTGTATTTCCCCTGTTAAGAAAATCTATCCTTTTATGAAGGATACCAGGTTAAACAGATATGCCCGTTGCTTCGTTTCATCCCACTTCTCATGTCTAAAACTCTTCTCTTCAAAATGCTTTCTCAAGCCTTGCATGCTCTTGGTGTTAGATTAATTGACGTGTAGTTGCATGGACCAATTTTCTCATTTTTAGCTTTGGGAAGCACATTAGTTATTTTTCAGCCAAATGCTTCCATTTTGATGTTGACATTCTCCGAAAAGTCTTGTACTGTATCTTGTAATTTGAGGTTTCAATTTTCAATGCTTCTGAATGAATATTATTTAACACTACATTAAGTTAAGCTGAATTTAACCCAGTAAGCTGCGAGTTCTTTCTCATTTGTGTGTGTTCCTTGCTGTTAGTCATCCCCTGCCACTACAGTGCTCTGCATTATCATCCTTACTGGAAACTGCTGTCTTTAATCTTACCCCCAGCCCCACTGCATAGTGCCTTCCTTCATACACTCATTTTTATTTTTATAGTGAAAGAACTTTTTATAGTTTAATTTCTTCTAAAACACACAGCCCAGTTTGACTGTCTATCTTAACCTGCACTTTTATTTCCAAAGGGTAGCTTTTGCTGGGGATCAAATCCTTTCTCCAGTCCCTAATGGCATTTTATTACTCCTTCTCGAGATTATTCATCTAGCTTTCTCTGAAGCCTTTTCCTGTATAGTTTTTCAGCTTGCCTGAGATAAGTTTTTCTGATATTTTTTGCACTTTGGCCTTTAATAAAGTAGGAATAGCCAAATGATCAATTAAAATTGCATCCAGAACTGATTATAAAAGACATCTAGAATTTTTGTCATTTCTTAAGTGTGCTTATTTGAAATTAAGAATCTTAGCTGCAGATTTAAAATACCTGACTTTTCCTTTTAAAATATCTCATGCTCACTTTATTTGCAGTTGCTTTTTTTATAAGCAGCAGATCTGTAATATCTTCATTTATTATATAAATGGCTAAAATAGTCTCACCTTTTGTCATTTCAGAGGTGAATGGAATTTTAAGAAAAAATATTCCGGTTATCTCTCAAAGCATTAGCTTTAGTAGTCTTTAGTTTCCATTTTCTTCTTGGGACTATAAATTTCATATAATTACATAATTCCCAATAATTTACTTTTGATCTAATAATAACGTGACCCAAATTTGACGTTTTTCACGTCTCGCGCTCCTTAAACCACAGTCTTTCACAATATTCACAATATTACTTCCAAACAAGGTTTAAAAAAATCCGCACCTTGGTTTTATCTATTTTAAAGCTTCTGAAGATCCTATTTTCTGAATTTTTCTAACTTTTCCTCCATAATCCTGTAATGTAGAACTTCCTCCAAAAAAAAAAAAAAAAAAAGACACCAAAGAACTTCCCAGAGTCATGATACTTTACATATCATGACACGACTCCAGGAAGTGAGCTGTAGGAAAAGTAGTCAATATAGTGACGTTTTTTCAAGACTCAGGAGAATTGTCAACAGTTTATGGGCAGAAATGAGAAAAATAAAGAGAAGGAAGCAGAAATCTTTTTGCAGTTGACAAAACGTACCTCTTCCAGAGATTTTCAGAAGTGTTCACACATGTTTTAGGTTTATGTCACTACATGCAGTACCTGAGGGTGGGAGGGGCAGGTAAGGGAACTCTATAGGAAGTGAGAACTATTGAAGGCTCCTGAATAAGCAGTGAATTTTTCCTAGTGAATATGCACAAGGTTAGTTATAACACAGAGGTGTGTCTAATTGTACTGGAGGAGCAAAATTCACACGTGCCTTTTGTGCCTGTGCAATATGCAGCAGAGGCTGGGAAAAAGACTTGTTTCAATTGATACCACTCATAAAGTACATATACATGCTTTCATTTTTAAATGTGCATTATCAGTTAGTAACATCAGGATTGCTATGATCAGTAAAATATATATGTCCTAGTGACAAAGTTTAAACAGAGAGAGAGGTTAAAGACAGGGGCATATAAAAAATTGGGTGGAGCGGAAGACTGAGAAAGTTTTATGTTGCAAACGGTCAATGATATTGTTACCGTTGAGTTAGAGCACCTGAACCACTTCTTTTATCATGAAAGGTGGTCAAATATTAGAACAGGTTGCCTAGAGAGGCTGTGAACTCTCCCTCCTTGTAGGTGCTCAAAACTTGACTTAATGGGCCCTGAGCAACCTGATCTAACTGGCCCTGCTTTGAGCAGAGATTTGGACTAAGAGTTCCCCTGTAACCTAAGTTATTCTTGTGATTCTGTGACTGTCAACAAGATTAAGATGTATACCCACATAGGTAGGGAGAAGAGTAAAAGCATGTTTCACTCCTATTTGTGCCAAGCAGTACACTTGGAAACTACATGCCAGGGAAAGGATTTGAGTTGGAATCGGCCAGGGAACATTTCGGTTTCAGATGTACTGTGGTCCTGTTAAACTTTACTAACTCTTGCTGCTGTTGGCAATCCGTTCCCAATCTGAACTACACCTCCTAACTTGTTTTTGTTATTTATTTAACTATTTGTGCAGAGCACTGAAAGGTCGTTTCTTAAAAGGGATTAGCAGTGGCTCAAAGGGGCAAAAGGAGGATTAATCAGCAAACCGTCTGAACAAATCTTCATCCATTCATGCTTATGTTCAACCTTCTTCATGCATTGACATGGTACAGAATTTCTTCCGGTACTGTAGCAATCTGTCTTCTGCACAGTTTTCACAGACAGCAGCTCATCAGATAAAATGCCTCCCTTTTCTCTTCTGTTTGCCATGGAAGATGTTTTTGTTTGTTTGTTTTTCTTTTGACACTTCCTGGAAGATGAACTACATAATATTAATGCTTTGCTTGCGGTAGGTATTGATTCTCTCAAAAGGTGTCAGATTCCTGCTCTGCCACTCCCCCCAGCCTGAGAAAATGATCTTTCCCCATTCTCTTATGATATGAAGAGAGAGTATGGCCAGCCAGGGCACGCTGGGGAGACCGAGCAGGAATCGACCTTCTAAAATGGATGAAGTTAAATGGATAAAGTTAACTGGGTCTGTGTCTTCCTTGAGAGACATTGAAAGGTACCAAGACCAAATGATGGATGTTTGTGCTAAAGTCAGAAATGTGTAAGTGTAATATGTAATTATAGACAGAGTGGAATAAGAATTGTTTAAAAATCATTCCAGTCTAAGGGAGAGCTGTGGAATACTATTAAAAATAAATAAAGTTTGTGAAGATCTATGGCAGAATTTGACTAAAGAGAGTAACAGTAGTATATCAGTGTAGTGTGTATAGATGACTCCCTCTAGTGACAGATTACAGAGACTACATAACTTCCTTTCGGCCAGAGTTTTGACTTTGGTTCCTGTTGTGGAAATTTGTATTCTTAGTACAAAAAGTGTTTGAATCGAACTTTACTGGAGTCACATTTTTAGTCCGTGACTGAATGTTGCTTTAGTTCTTGGGGTTGTTTGGCCTCTTCTGAATTGGTTTTTCCCAAATTCTGACCTGCACAGGGAAATGGTAGTTCTGAATGAGATTTGCAACTCTGGTTTTCATATGTTGGTTATACCTGTAAATAAAAGCCCAGTTTCCTAAACTGCACTGTCTCAAGTTCATGGATGTAGTGTAGACATTTAACAATTTGGACTTAGACATGTATATTTGTTATATATACACTAGGTATAAACCTGTGAATAATAGAAACAATTGCAAGTGAAGGACAAAAATGCTTGGCTCACTTTAATCTGTGAGAGCAAACATTTTCATAATTTAAAAGGAATGTGTTTGATGTGGTGAATCCCCATATAATGAGTTTGCTGTTTTATGTTGCAGGCCCTTCTGGGTATATTGAAAAAGCAACACTCCTCTGTTCTTGAGAATCCTTCAGAGAAGTCTGGCAGGAGCAGCCTTGAGGACATGCAAACCCAACTTGAAGTTCTCAGGCAGCAGGTGAGAGCAACGGGAAGTAAACCTGGTTGAACTTAAGGCAGCGTAGTGTTGCACTTTCTCCTAAGAACTGTGTCTGGTAGAATTGCTATATACGGCTTTTGAAAGGAAGAAACAACTTAGCTATAGACCGTTCAAATAGTGTTTTTTAAGATGCTGTCATCACACCATAAAGTGAAATTCAGTCCTTGCGTAGGACTGGAACAAGGCCTTGCGTCCAACTTGAAGCATCAGAATGCAGAGGTCTCATGACTCTCAAGGATGTCCTGCTAGCTCTCTTTTAGGGACTAAGTTACATGCAGAGAGAATGCTAAGCTTCATGAGTTACTGATGAATCTGTTACTTGTGTCTTCTGCTCCTTATTTCTTAGAAGCTGAAAGTGTGGCAAATTATATAAGAATCCTACTCTGGAAAAATCAAAATATTTCTTTGATAATGTAGTTCAAAGTGTAAGGCAAAACATTTGCATCCGTAACCTGCGTAGCAGTCAGCATAGCAAAGCATATTTGTTTTTATTTTCATTTTGAGCAATATAAGCTCTTTTTGCATTCTTTCTTTCTCTCTCTCTCTCTCTCTCCCCATATGAAAGAATCTGTTTAAAAACGTGATACTTTTCGGAAAATTTTACGTTTTAGGTCTGTCATCCTGGACAGTGTTAGAGTTAATGTTATAGACACACAAAGGGATGTGATCAGAATGGGAATTTTATTCAATGGGAATAAAATACTTGTTTCTGTCACATTTGACAGCAAAGCCAGATTTTACTCCTTAATGTAATGCTTGCCACATGCTTGAGAATACTGTAGAGTCAAGTGCAGGATTTTAATGAGTTGTTTCATTCTACACAATAAAATAGAGTAAACTATTTTTTTTCAGAATTCTCATGGGGAAACCATTTTATGAATGTATTTTTCTAGTTGTATAAATCAGTACAGCCAGTTCAGGCTTCCCTCTGCACAAAATGGAGCAGAAGGCTATAACTGTATGGAAGAGGAACCCTTGGGACAAACATGAACGTGACAGAATCCCGCCATGGCTTGGCTGTCATCAGCCCTTCCCTGGCCGCTACACAAGAGATGAAGGCATTCATTCCTTGGGAGGTAACCCCCTCCTCCTAATGGTAACAGAGTATACAACACGAATGTGATAAGTTTGTTCCCTATCACAGTCTCAACAGGTCATACAGCTGGGCAGGGGGAGGGAGGTGAGACAACAGAGAAAATGAATCAGGAGAAAAGAGATGAAGAAATACCTAGGAGAGAAGCGTATAGGAGAAGAGGGATACAAGAGACCTAGGTTTCTGCAAGTAACAGCTATGCCTCTGCTTCTGGCGGTCAGCACCACTTATGCATCCTTCAGGCATAGGCTGTGGAGCTGAGTCTCCAAGAGGCCACACAGAAAGTCTTTGCTCCATTTTTACGCAGTGTTATTCAGGAAGGGAATTATATCTAGTCAGGTCCAAAAAACTTTGCAAAAATTAGCTGCAACAGGCAAGTAATGAAAATAATTAATAACACTGTGTTGGCTATTTTCTTGTCCTGAGTTATTAACATTTCTTTAGACCTTCTGTAAAGTACTGATGCCTGCAAAAGGAAAACTAGATCTATACTCTGGGCAACGCATGAGCAGCAGCAAGCAAAATCTTTAAAAATAGCCCATCAGTAGGCTTTAGTGACCAACTGAAAGGACCAGCTCTGACGGTAGTCTCCACTGCAATATGGATTTTGCTATATCTGTCAGTAGAAGTGCCACCAGTCTTGAACTTATCAGGTAGACGCCTGCCCATATGCTGATTGGCTTAGTTCTTTAGCTAACCACCAGTTAACTTCTAGGTTCATATTTTGCTTCTGAAACCATGCGCTCTCTGTGTGTCAGGTGGTCAGATCTTTTAAAATGGGATGCCATGCTATGACTCGAGCACTAGGTGACATAACAAGAGGCAAGTTATTGCATCCCTCAATGATAAAAGACGGCTTGTCATCTAGTGACAGGATCAAACCTCCCTATTTCCATTTCGCACTGTGTAAATAATCTTCCCCTCTGCCTCCAAAGTGAGGTGGGTAAAATCTTTGAGCTGTAGTGTGAGAGGGTGAATCAAAAGTCCTGTACTGCAGACAAAAGGAATATGGGGCAATTACTTTTCTTCCACATACAGTTTCTAACATCTAGAGCAAGATAGACTTCTGCAGATTTTTTTTCTATGATGCTCCAACGAAGGTCTACATTCCAGGACAGTCTTGACCAGTCCCAGTCTTCTGGCCATCCAGTCTGTACTTCTCAGTCCATAACAGTGGTCAGAAAAACATCCTTAATAACGACTCTGAACACTGTTACTTATGCTGCACAGTTTAATCCTCAGGGCCACACCTACATTGGACAGCTAAAGCTGTATAAAAGGTGCAACTGCAGAGCACTACAAAAAGGCATAAGGCAAAGTAGCATCAAGGCCCAGCCTGTCACATGGCATTCAGTGGGCTATGAAAAGGGCATAACGTTATTTCATCATGGTGGCTCATTAATAGATTGGGTAAAGTGATAATGTTCTGTCAGACTCTGTGATAAAAGTCAGTTTTCCATGCTTTGCCAGTACCTCCCATCTGCCACAGGATGCTAACTGCTTGCATGTGAGATGCAAGGTGGGAGATAAGCGCTCATAACTGAAGGGAAAACTTGGAAAAATTACTGACAAAGTTTTTGTCCTACCACTGTTTATCCCTTCGAAAGATCCACGTCTTTAGTATTTGCTGCCTTCTTTATAATCTTTAGAATGGATGTTCCATAATCAGCCTTTTAAATTACAAGGGTATATGAGTACTGAAGCTGTGGACTGTTTTGATTGATGCGTGCCACTGGAAAATAGCCATTACTTGTCACTTTGTAATCTTTATAAAACGAGACGAGGGAAACCCTTTGGGTGCAGAATTCTAAACAGGGATCCTTTTAGAATGTATCCCATTGCTTGGCAAATGTTTAACAAGCAACCAAACAAAAAAGTAGTGGAAAATTGCCATTGTGACTTTACCAAAATTCAAATGCTCAATGATAACGGTTGCAGGTACAAATATATGAAGAAGACTTCAGGAAGGAGAGATCTGACAGAGAAAGACTTAATGAGGAGAAAGAAGCACTGCAGAAAATTAACGAGAGTTTACAGTCTCAACTGAGTAAACGACATTCTCAGGTATGAGTCAAAAGAAAGTTACTATTGCCAGCACGTGTGTATTTTATTTTTATTTTCTCACTTTCCGCACAACCCAAAGCTTTCTGGCTTCCATTAATTGACATTGGATTTTACGTGAGGTCACCACCTGGGATGAAATCATTCTGAAGTAATGCACTAAGGAGATCAGCAATGATTAGAGACTTCTTCCAAAAGAAGTAGATGAAGGGAGTGCTTATTGCAAAGACTCTTCAAACATATCTTAAAATGGCGGGAGGAACCAAAAACAAATCCAGAAGACTGTTCGTTTTTTTACCACTGGCACTTGATGAAAGAGTTGTAACATCAAACCAGCTCTTAAAATAAAACGCTTCTGTAATGAATCCTGACCTCTGCAGTGGAATTACAGATTAATATTAATATCACTGACAGAAAAAATTGTCGCTATCCAAATAAGCTGAGCAGCCTCTGCAATAGTTTTTTGTTGCCACATCCTTTTTACCTCTTCAGAGTAGTGTCAGTATTCTGTTCACAGACATTCAGGAAGCCAAAGCAAAATCATGGCATGCAAAATCTGAGCTTTCTCAACCCCTCTTTAAAAATGATGAAATTTCGAGGTTTCCTGTCTTGACACAATTGTGCAATGTTTTAAAGGAATGGCAGATTACCAAAATGTTCTGTGATGATTTATCGTACTCCTCAACTTTCTGTTGTGAAACAGACTGCAGTATTGGCTTGTTCTCAGTGAACCAATGCATCAAGAGTAGGAGGGTGTTGCAGTTGTATCAGGAGCAAACTGCTGAAGAGCCCTGCAGATACTGTCAGGTGCGCCTCACTCCCATCAGCTGGGGTGGAGAGCAGGTTGGATGTCCTGGCTGACGCTGGGCGCTGCTGCAGTAAGGCCCCGGACCAGTCATTGTTTTTACAGATACTTGGAAGCGTTTTGCAGCTTTACATGGAAGTTTTCCATGTGAAAACAGCAGTGCTGGAGGGAATGCTATGATTTGCCATTCAAGGCATCCTAGGCATATGGAAATGCCCAAGACAAATCTATTAGTATTACGTGCAGCAACTTTTAGGTATATTTCCCCCATTCCCTGTCCTGGGTGTTTTAATAAGTTAAATAAATGATTTTTTGCAGGAGACAGAGTACTCGAAGGCACCTTCTTCCTTTATATTTTTGCTTTGCCCAGAGGCCATAAATGACTGAATTTCTTGCACAGCCCCAACTGGTCAATGTAAGCTGTGAGAACCTCTCACAGCAGTGATGGTGAATAGGGGGAGTACAAATGGGGAAGAAGCCTTTCCCACTCCTTCCCCCTCCTCCTCTGGACCAGGAGAAACATCATCTGCAATCCATGCGTACAGCATGCCCTAAGGGCAGTACAAAGTGCTGCATGATGCTTGTGTTGAACTTGACTGTCCCTGCGTTTTGTCGACAGGAACAGTTTTGGATGTGGCTTTCAAGCCATTGATTTTTTCAGGATGAAAATGTTTTTTTCTCCACAGATCGAGACCTGTGTCAAAGAAAAGGAACAACTAGAAAGGCAGTTACAGCAGCAGGTATGCTTTTATTTTCTTATGTCTTGTTGCTGGATGTAACTGAAGTACTGGGCCACAGACGAGTTGAAGTAAAATCTCCATTCCTTAAACTCTCAGCCTCTCCTTCTATACCTCAGTCATTAAAGTCAGCGGCATTAGACATGGGGCTAAAGGATTCAAGCTCTTTACGTTTTAAAAATAAGCTCCCTCCTTCCTTCTACCTGTCTTACCCCACCAGAAGAGCAGTTCTTTACATAACTGGAAATAAGCTGTGGGACAGATACTGGGACTCACTGATGTATTCTAGTGGAGACTGAGGATGCTGGAGCTTGTGACTGGAAGTTCACCCATGTAAAGAGGCTCAGCACTAGGTTTTAAGTGACTCTGTGTGTGTGTTCAACAGCAATTGCTGACCTGAATTTACTCCATGAGGTATCTGTGACTATGGGCAGATGAGAGAGATGAGGCAGGGTGTGATTTTGCAGTATGTCAGGTGCAATTTTGCAGTATGTCAGCTGCTCCATGGTATTTGCACCTGTACAACTTCTTCTTTTACATTGAGCAATGCCTTGCCTTTCCCACAGGAAATTTTGAGCTACACACATACCCACAAACAGCCACTGCTGAATAGCTGGGGCAGTGGAAGTATACGCTTTAAGTTTAGCATCTTGTTTGTTTGTTCCTGCCTTGTGATTTGATTAAACAGAGCTTGTGAAGGACTTGAAACGAGAGAGGAGTCATATAGTATATTTATTGGTTTATTTTCTTAAGTCAAATTATTTAGTTCTGACTCAACTTTTACTCTTCCTTGCTCTGTCCTTAAGAAAATTCCAAGTGACTGTACTGGGACTCAGAAGGCCTGAGAAAAGACAGAACCAAAGCTTGAGACCATAGAATTTCTTCCTTTACCAGTATTCCTTATTCTTGTTAGGCAAGTGCCAACCCATGTAATTTTTCTTTGAAACTATTGAATGCTGCTGTGTGCAATGATAATGTCTATTGGTTGTAGCAAATGCCTAGGAATATACTTGCCATATATTGAAACCAACATTTCATCACATTAAAAGTGTCAATATTCTGGCGTAATGGGAGTCAGATTTCTTAAATAATTTTTTTAATCTTAGCACTCTGAGGGGGCTAAATTAGAAGCGTTGCGGCCCGTGCTGAGAGAGGGGTGGTTCTTGTCTGTTTTTTGCTGGTGAATTTGTATGTGGACATTCTGTTGGTCAACATATTCTGCTAGCGATGCTTTTCTTGTTTTTCTTATATTTTGACAGAAAAAAGACCTCCCAGGAAGGAATGAGCAGCCCAGCTTCCCACCTCCACTGTTTCTCTCACCATGCGTTAATTATGGGAACTGTGGGTTGCTTCTTCACTATCAAGATCCTCGAGTACATCCAATGTCTCGCGGGGCACATGAACAGCAACAGCGCTCAGTAAGATTCCCACTGTTTCCCATTTCACAAGGGCACTGATTTTTCTCACAGCATGGTAACCGCAGAAGATTATCGTGGTGCTATCACACTGCCATCCTCACCAGTAACTACATCTGTTGTCTCCTGGTTTGTTTCTGGTTCCGGATCAAAATTGTGTGCTGGTTTCAGAATTACCCCTACATCTAGAACAGCCTTCCTGATCTCTGTAGGCTCTCTTCCCTGTCTGTCTCCCTCAAAATGCCAAGCTTCTTTCAATAAGCATAGTCCTTTCTTCCCTGCTGTTCTGATGTCTTTGGTGCTAAACTGCGTAGAATGCTGCCATGTCTCAATCAAAGTGTAGCCACCTGAATATTAACATTAACGTTGCCCTTTGTAACACTTCTACAATTTATTCTCCTACAGAGAGGAAAAATAACAATAATTTAAACATATGGTTGATAAGTAAGCATGTATATTGCAAAAAATAAAAATAAAAAGTAGCAGAAGTGCAAGCTACATCTGACTGGCTAACAAAATAGGAAATTTGCCTTTTTTTCCTAGTACGCAACAGGGTCCTGCCTTCCTACTTCTCCCTCAGCGTTCAGGAGAATCCTTTGCCCTAGGGCAGGTTATATGAGGATGAGGGTTGTCTATTTCAAGCTGTTTCAAGGAATGATATTTTTGAAGTGCTATAGATTGTTGTATATTCAAAGTACTGAAGAGAAGGTCTGCATTTGTTAAAATATAGTGAGAATAAATTTAAGCATAGTGAATCTCATTTTAAATACATGTTATCTGTTTATAAAGCTGTCACATATCAAAAGGCGCTCGTTATTTGTGAATAGCTTAGCTTTTGCAAAACATGTATTAGGCTGTCAGACTGGAGATATCCAACAGAAAAGTTGTGGTCAAACAAGTCATTTCTGTACTTCAGGAGTATGCTTATCTATCTACTTATCAGAGTTGGAAGTACTGCAGAATGTTTTTCACTGCAGTTTGGACGCTGTCCCAGATTATTTTGGCTCTTCTCCCTGAACTCTCATCATGTGGGTTTCTAATTCTGCAAGGGATCACTGGGTTTACAACTTTGCCGTTCCTGCTAGGGCACTGGGGTCAGTTTGACCGGTTGCTTTGTAACTCCCAGTTTCATTCAGTTTCCTTTGAAATTCTTTGTCTATGTGAGTGTAGCGCTGCTGCTCTGAGCTTTTCATAACTCCCTGAGCAATTTGTCAGCAATGAAGAAAGGTGTTAGGATTTAGTGAGTGTCCTGAGTTAACATACGTAATTGTGTGTGTTTAGTCTGTGTTTTTGCTTTTTCATTCTTTTTATATCTTGCACCTTTTAGACTTTTTTAGGTTGCCATAGAAGTGTTTTGTTTAGTCTGACATGAAATACATCTCTTCTGTCTTTGAATTTCTTTCAAGTTTGCATCTTATAAGTACATATGAAAGAGAAGAATAGATTAAAGAGCAGAAGATTCAACAGAAACTCAGAAAAGCAATGCAAATAAGTATATTTTGAGCCATCAGTGAAAAAACTTCTTGTGCTTTAAGTGAAGCACAATCTTAAGTGTTTTGTATCAAAGCCAATTCTGTTTGCCTGCAAGCATGGAAGTAGTTAATTCCTGTGAATGGTATCATTTAAGTGAAAAGGGGCAGTTCCTTTTTCCAGACAGTGTATAATGTTGATTATTATTATGTAACCGCCAAGGACAACATGCATGAAGCTTAAGTCTGTTTTCTGTATCTACAGCCACACCCTGCCGTCTTAATTTAGGCAAGACTTCTTTAGAAGTCAATGAAATTTCTTCCCTGTGAGTTGAAATCTATAAGAGTCTCCTTGGGATTACTCAGGATTTTGCCAGAGTAGTTTCTGCAAAACAGGAATTCTTTCCACAGTTTAACTAATTTAAAGCAATAATTATTTGTAATTTTATAAGCTTGCAAGTACCTTTTAAACCAGATAGACAGCTTAATACAGCTTCAACTGAATTGGCTGGTCCTAAAATTGTTTTCTCTAGGGTAATTTTCTACTCATTTGTCACTGTGTGTTGTATAAACTATAGTGCAGTATTTCTTTCTTCCTTGCTGTTGCTAATCATGAAGGATTTCACTGGAGAAAACTACATTTGTGTGGACATAACCTTCTCAGTACTTCCCTTCCTAAGAAAGATGGGGATTGTTCCCATCCCAGAGTATTTTCAGGAAGTTGCTTGATATCAGCTCATGTAATTGTTTAACTAATGCTCCTCTGTGGGGAGGGGAGGAATAGAGAGACCTTTATTCAAGAGACTATTTCTATGATACTGAAAAGCTGTATTACACATGTATTCAAACTGGAACAGCTTCACCTGTCAGATCGATGCACACCAGGTTTCTCTGAGCTTCTAAGTAAGTAGAATGGAGCCAGTTAAAATGTGACATCTGATAGTATCTCTGCATTTTATTCCTCCCTGTCTCCTCATTCCTTAGGCATAGTACACTATAAAGCCCTTTTAAAATCTCATTTGTTTTTGTTAATGTTGTTGTGATTTGTGGGATCTAGAAAGGTTTATACCAGTATTTGAGTGCAGCATCTAAGCCACATATCATAAAAAACCAAGCAAGCTGAAAAACAGTGGAAATCAGTGGAAATTTAAAGCCAAATATAAGATTTTTGTAAACTACTTTTGTATGACTAATAGAAAAAAAAACTTCACAGCACAATTATATTTTTAACATATCACTATTCTTTTGTTTGAAGTGTCTATGAAGTCCATATTGCTGTAATAATGTTTTATTGTTCTGTGCAGCCAGACTATCAGTGGTATGTTCCTGATCAGTTTCCGCCAGATGTGCAGCACAAGGCAAATGGTAAGACAACAGCTGTACAGAGCATATTCTAAATGTACTTTATTTGATGGGGGCCTTTGAGGGAAATATACTAAACTTTCCTATTCCTCAGTTGAGTGTGTACCTAACAGTTTTGCTTAGAGAGCTGAAGTTGGGATATATGCAACATAGATGAGAGTTCTAATGCGATACCATCTATGTTATAGCTTTAAACTTCATTACAATTCTTGAAATACCTCTATTATATATTATAGGATCAAACCAATGCCTCATTAGACACCTAGTAAGAGTCCAAAAGAAAGGATGTTCTTAGAGCTGGTGTTAGAATATCTGTTGCCTCCTACGCACCAGGAATTAACTGGGGCTAAATTTAATGATGTTCTGAGCTTTGGGGCCAAGATGGATCAAATTTTTAAAGTTCTTGGTTACAAAATATAGGCTTTAAGATGTTGTTTCACTTTAAAGGAAAAAATGTCCATTGCTATCCTTGATCTGGCCTGATAGTTCAAGGTGCCAGGTCTGAAAACAAAGCCATTTAAATAGACAAGTGCAAACTATCTATTGAAAACCAGGAGAAGTATGTAATACTTGTACCTGGATTTGAAATCCTGCAAAGTTATTGGGTGTTTCAAAATAATTGGTTTCAGGCCATTCTAAAGGCAGATGCTAGAGAGAATCAGAAAGAAAGGATGTTATTCTGGGTAGGAATCCTTCCCTCCCCATCTTCTCCTTCAGAGATTCCCCTAAACCACTCCTCCTCTCTCGAAAGGGGTTGAGAAAAATGGCATCTGAAGTTTGCATTCTGCTATGTTCTCATGTTTCATGGCCCTTTTTAATAGAGGAACCATCTCAAATGAATAATATACCATCCTGTCCTGTGCAAGGGGAACGAGCAAAGTCTGTGCACTGCATCAGTGACTGTATGCACTGCGAATGTATGCCGTTTCATAGTGAGAATGGGTACCATATGAGGTGACAGAGAGACTATCTTGTAACATCCAGAAAAAGAAGATGGCTGCAGAGAAACTCTGCAGTCATTTGCTGACCACAACATTCACACAGAAAAGAGGATAGGGTGAGAATGAAGTTTACTGGAGTAGAACCTCACCTTGAGACAGAGGACTAGCTTCCTAAAATTATATGGGAAGAGTTTGGAAGGTTCTAGTGTGGTTGTAGGGAGGAGTGGACAGAAGATTAGTTTTGTAGTTCCTCCTACTTAAACTCAGAGTGATTTACTGCACCAGAGAATACTGAGAGGATGTTTATAACAGTGCATGAAACAAGTCCAGCAGCCAGTTGCAGATGTGGTCCAGGGTAGTACGCTTAGAGGATCCGAAGAAAAGAGAATTCTTTTCTTCATTCTTCTTCATTATATGACTTTACTTCTGGTTCCATAAAAAACCTCTTTAAAATCCATGTACTGTCTTTGTCTTATTGTTCCTTGTCCAGAACATGTGAATACCTCTTTCACAATAGAATAGTGTATTGGAAATTCACATTCCCTATGCTTTCTTCTTCAGTCCCCCTGAAGAGGAATTTTCAAATTGTCCCATAATACAGCGGTGTGTACTATATCTGCATTAAGATGTTCTGGACTCATATTCTTTATTTCTTTGTTAGTAAGACAACAATGATTTTATTAGCCATTGATCACAGAAAAGTTCTACTATAAATACAAATGTACTAGCCTGGATTTAGTTATGTATTATATATAGTAACCTGTATTTAATCTGTATTTATGTCATTTATTTTGAGGAAGATTTCAAAGACAGAAACTCTGTGAATACGTGATGAAAGTATTCTTCATATTCTTTCCATTTATTTGTTCTGTTTTGGACTAGTGCTAATTACAATGGTGGGTTTAAATCATCTGGTGTGATTACCAGCATTTGTTGGTCTCATTTCTCAGCTTTCATTTTCTCATTAGATGATACACTGACCATTAAATCTTCTATCTTCTGAGCTAGGGCTTCATTATTGAAAAACTGAACCCTGATGGAGTAGCTTCTCAGCGTGAGGCAGTCTCTTTTAGAATTACTAGTTCTATAGATTGTTTTTAGGGTAAACGCTTTAGTTTTCCCTTCTGAACAAATTTCCCTTTGACAATGAGTATTTTGTTTAAGGAATAATTATAAAACATGGGTCACGTGCCGTAACATTAGAATTGAACACAAGTGAAATATAAGATCTGTTTTAAAGATCACCAAAATCTTACGAGAGTCTCTACAATGACTCTATTTAGCTGTGGGCCAAGGACTCGGTATCTAGATTACTATAAATGCCATCGGGACTGCAAAGGCATACGTCACCAAGGAGGGATTCATAGGTGTTTTTGTGCAGGTTTGTGCAGCTAGTTTGTGATCGCCTTCTGCTCCCTGTCCCCCCACCCCCACCTTTGCACAGGAAGGAGGTACTTGTACCAAATTCTTCAGGCATCTAACTTAGGTTCTCCGGGTTCTCCTGTAAGCAGCATGAAGGAAGTGTCCAGCGGCAATTTAGAGCATATGCGTTGACATTCAAACTTAAGCCACAGCTTTGTAACCCTAATCCATTTTACTTCATGGCACGCAGAGGGTTGGACTTTCTCCTCCGAGGGGGAGCGATCTCTCCATGTGCGGTTAGCGGCCTGTGTGCTCAAAGTGATCTTTTAGCTGTCTCCAGTGAGAGGCTCCTAGGGATCTAAATAAGGTGCCTAAAGTTATGGAGTGTGGATACCCCTTTGGTATCAGAAAGATGATTTCATGCCAAAAGATTGTGGAAATTGTCAGAGGGAAAGAATAAAGGTAAATATGCACTCATTACTTAAAACAAAAGAAACACTGTGAATCTAGCATCTATTCACATTGATAGCCATAATTTCATGTTTTCTGCTTCTCATGTAACCATTTCTATACTTTTGTTGTGACTGGCACTGCTTTTCTTAGCTGCTGCCCAGTTCAAAGAAGGCTTTCTGAAAGGCCTGCTGCCTCTCTGAAGCCTGCTTTAAAAAACAAACTGCTTTGTCTTTCTCTTTTCTGCACAAAAAAACACCTTTTGCTATATAACCACAGAAATAGGATAATTATTGAAATATTTTTAAAACTGCCACAGAAATTTGATCAATCCTGCTTTTTTCTCCCTGCCCCATCCCTTATTTTCCAAGGTTTCTATTCCAGTCTCCTATTTTCCCCACGTATCTGTGTTTCAGTAGTAAGCAGAGGATCACTTATGCACAGACCTGAGAAACAGTGTTGCCTTTAGCTCTGGACTTTTACAAAGGTGTGGTGATTTGGGTCTGGTACTTTTCTGGTTTGGAGCCCTTTCTACTTAAAGTAGAAAAGACTAGTCCCCAGCATGATGAGAAGAGTAGGAGAATAGGATTAGGTGAGGAAAGATAGGAAGAATAAGAGAAAAAAAAAGCCTCAAAAAAACTGCTCTACCCTTTTTTCTATTACGCTTTTCTTTACAAAATGAAAATGAACAAGCGATGTTCCACAGTAGCGACACATGGCAATTGTCTAAATGAAATCCTTGCAGTTTAGTGTCATGAACAAAGTGGAGCTAAAGGGAGAAAGCAGCTAAGATTACAGCTGTGAAATGTGGCTTTATGTTAAAAAAAAAAAAAAAACAAACAAAAAAAAAAACTTTGGAGCTTGGAATAGTGAGCATCACTTCTTATTCAAACAGGGTTATATCAGCTCCTTCTTTCACAGAAGTATTTCAGTGAAGTAAGGTTCAGTGATGTACTGTGCAGTCCTTGGTACTTTGACTAAAACACCTCGGAGCTACTCTACACTTCTCGCTGGTTTTAGTAATCTCTCACTGTATTTTACGGCTAAGTATCTGAAAAGGGTCTGTCGACCTTGCAGTACTTAGTGATGAAGAGTTGGTTTTAGTGATCTGTCTCTGTGTCTTACAGTTAAGTATCTATGGGCTATTTCAGGATTTAATCCTGATGAAAGGAAGGGTCGGTAGGCCTTGCAGTACTTGAGGATGAAGTTGCTCTATAAAGAGAGCCAGTTATTCCCAGAGAAGCCACAGGCCGACTGCTGGGACTGGGGAGACCAGTCTTCAGCCTTGAAATCATGTCAGCATTGGGAGTCCCTGGACAGAGTTTAGAGCTTGGTGCAACAGCATGCTCAAGTAACTTATCCCCTCCTTAATTCAAGTATAGCAAGGAAATTTGCTCTTAGGAGTGTGTGTGCTTGTGTGAATATGTGCAGGTTTCCAAACCTTTTATGGTTATATTTACTTACAATTTTTCCTTGTAAATATGCATAAATAAGTAAAATAAGAACTACTGGCTACCTGTAGAGGTTCCAGGGCCCAGGCCTGGAATCTGTGAGTAAGGCTTGGCTTTTCTTTATGTTCAGTTTTAGTAATTAATATTTAAATACTTTTATCCATTCTTCTTGTCTGAAGTTGCCCACATTTTTCTTTCTTTCTTTTTTTTAAATGCCTTTTTTGACCAGAAGCTGGTTTCCCCAAAGAAAATTACAGTCAATCTCAAAATGCAATGCAATGAACGTTTCAGCCTGTCGAAATTGTGGCAGTAAAGAGCTCTTAAGCTAGCAAGAGACAGTGTATGTGTATCTCCTGAAGGAGGAAATGAGTCAGGCAAAATGCAGACCTTTACCGAGAAATAACTAAAATCTGGACTCCCAGCTGAGAAAGGGAGAGTGGAAGAGAAGACTGGAGACCTCAAAATTTAAGGTGAAATCATAATAAGGGGTTGGAGGAGTTAAAATGAGAGAAGTGAGACTTCCCATAGGAAGGCCAGAAACAGGAAGAACAGCTTCTTGGCACAACGTGTCCTGGAAAAGAGTTCCAGAAAATAAAAGCATTTCTGAGCATCAGTGAGAGGCCTGGCTGATAATACTTCTAATTCTCCACACAAGATGAACACGTAGCCTAACAGAGGCAGAATAAGAGATGGTTCCGTTTAATTTTGGGCTCCTTAAAAGCTGCTTGCTTAGTGGAACAGGATGCTACAGCACAAGCCTGCCATGAACTGATTCTACCTTTGCTTGCAAGAATTTGTGATAGAGATCTGTGCTGGCATAAATCAGCCTTTCTTTTGCAATCATCTTCTGGCTATTTTCTATTGACCACCCAACTTGTTTTATAAAATCGTGTCTGTGGCTTTAGGGAGTTTACTTAAATATTAACAAAGAATCCATCAATTATGTGGCTTTGGGACCCCAGTAACCTATGGAGCCTAAGGAGCTTTGGATTTGAAGACACAGCCTGTCCACTGGTAAGCACAGAAACCTGGAGATGCTTTGAGCTGCCAGGAGTTGCATGAGACAACGGAGAGTTAGTAATTACATAGAATATAATTTTCAAAAAAGGATAAGAGACGATTGCTCTCCTTCAGAATGTGTTTAATGAGTATTGCACACCCTTGCACATTTGCAGTGGACTGTTTTCAGAGGGCAGGCGCATGGGCTGGGGTGGCTTTCATGCCAGGCTGCACTGCAGGATTAAGTTATATGCCATCTGAATGCTTTGCATAGCCACAGGAAGCAAAGGGGTGAACCTACATCCTCTTTACCTGCTGCTCTCCCAGAGTTTTCATGCTACAGTCTCCTGAAGAGGTCTGTTCTCTGCTCTGCCACTGGAATCTGAACTGAATCCAGAAATGTTCGGCAGGCAGTTGCAAACTGAAGAGCGTAGGCTGTGTTGATCTCCCCTTACACCAACCGGGTTTATTAATCTCCCCATACATGAAATACTCCAGCAGAAAGTAGGCAGAGAGATGACTGGGAACATTTTGGGTGGAAACATGTCCGGTTATGCTCCGAAGATGGACTTCAATGATGATCAGGCTGCTAGGGAGAGAGCATTCAGGTAGTCCTCGTGGGGAAACCACCAGGCTGCAGAGCAGGATTAGGAACATACGGGAGACTTCCAAAAAGCAAAAACGTGGCTCTTTGAACAGTGAAGAGAGAAGGGCAATGTATAAAGGTAAATGATGGAAGACAGGTGGAGTTTAAGGAAGAAGGGAGATAACTGTCTCACTGCACTAGCCGAGCATTTCCAACAGGATAACTCTTCCTTCTTGCCTCTGGGCCTGGTCTCTCTCCATATGCTTTGCTATGCAGAAAACCTAGTGTGAAGATTTACTCAAATTCTTCCAGCTTAGCCTTGTTCTACCAGTTATGCTGGCAGCTGTCCTGCTCTCGGAGGGAAATCAGCTCCTCAGTCTCTCTGTGCTCTATCACTCAGCATAGCTGGAACTAGTTTCTGTTCTTTTCTTTCTTTCTTTCTTTTTCTATTTTTCTTTTTAAGGAGCAAAGCATAAAGAATTCCAGCAAGTGTACTCAATGTCACTTTATTTGGCAAGCAGTGTTGACTTCCTTCCTTATCCAACTGTGTGAAATTGAAAAGACAGTTGAAAAAAGATTGATTTTTGGAGATTTTCCCTGAAGCCATTTTTTTAATACAAATTTATCTGGAAAAGAGGTTTATTGCTCAAAGCTTACACAAAACAAGAACCTTTTTGCATGCCACAAGTGCTGGCATGTATTGTCCCTCTCGCTTCCAAAATTAATCTTACTGTATTCGTTTTCTTGGCAGAAACAGTTATTGGTCTCCATACATGTATTTAAGAACCACAGTTCTCCCTTCAGAATATTTGATATAACTACTGCATTTATTTGTCCTAAGCTGTACATTTTGACTTTGAATCCAGTTGTGCCAGGCACAAGGAGAAGCCAAAACTTAGCCCTTCAGCTGTCTCTCAGCTCGAGGGGTAGGTCTGGGTAGAGGACTGTGGAAGAGGTGAGGGCACCTGGGGACCACCTCATCTTGGCAGAGCTAGGAGGGACACCGCTCAACCTGCAAGCCCTAGGGATGCTGGCACGAGCACTTTAAGAAGCTTGATGTTACTTTCATTATAATATTCTCTCTTGTTTTCTTCCATACTCTGCTGCTTTCCAGATTTTTGCCCTCAAGGTACCTACTTTACTGCTGGTATTGTTATAATTACAGCTAATTAGAAGAAGGGTGGGGGGGGGAGTGTGGTGTTTTCCACTGAAAATAAGGACAGTCGAGGTGGTGGGATGGAGGAGAAGGAATGAAAAGCTGGAAGAAGAGGTTTATGGAGATCTTCAATGAAAACCAGACAGAAAAATCTTAATAAACTGACATCTTAATTTTCCTGGGGGGAGGGAGGGGGAACAAGCCCTAAAGATTTGTAGTATTAGCTCGCCCTCACTGCATGCATTGCATGAGAAATCATCTGTACTCCGTACTAGTTAAGACAGGTATTTAATTAGCAGCTTGCTATCCCAGTGGGAATGAGAATTTGATTAATTTTAGGATTCTTACTGATCCAACTTGATTTCTGCCACTGCAGCGCAACAAAAAAGCCACTTAGTGCACGATTTCCAACGTCAGAAGCATGAGGACTTGCCTTTTTTGGAAAGGTTAAAATCAAGTTGAGCTAAAGATCACAGAAAGTCTTGTAGTTTGCCAGAGCATGATGCAAAGGGGAACAGAGTATGCAGTTTAAACAACAGTATGATTTTATTTCTATGAAAGAATGTATCATGATTTACCTATATCTTGTTTTGCTTTTAGTAGATGTTAGACTTCTAAAAGCTTCAAACACACTGGCAGTTTTTTTTTTTTTTCCTTTGAGAATGAAACGTAAGGAAAAATCAAGGCGTTTAAGAGAACTTGGAGTTCAGATCCTGGCTGGTCGTGAAATCCTACTGTTTCCTCCGTATCCAGTATCCTCAGGAATAGATCACGGTTGCCTACGAAGGCAACGTTAATTGTGGCATTCTGGTGATAGGTTACATGGTGGCTGTTTTGATTAGATCATTGTCGTTCCTGCTGCCTTGATGAAGCATGCATCTGCCATCTGGAAATATCTTTAGTTCCTCACTGATTATCTCAGGAAAAGATGTAAAAATTAACGTTTGTTCTTTAAAGTAGTTGCTGAGCTGTGCTTATCCTAGTTATTCTTATTGACAGTCCAAGTTCCTTTGCCTATTTTACATATTTTAAGTATAAAGGTATTCTGTCCTGGGTTCCGAAACCCTCTCCTGTTGCAAAATATCCAGAAGGTTACCTTAATGGTTACTGTTTGCTTAGGTGAGACAGACTGTTTGTGGGAACTACATGTTATATTATATTTACCTTCCTCTGTGATAGACCATACCTGCAATGTTGTAGTCTCTGCTGGTTTGTACCAGCTGGACAAAAACTTTTGGGGCCAGCAGCATCCCGGCATGATTAGGTCCGTAAGAAGGGTGACCTCAGTGTGTCCCAGAGATGCTATGAAACCCGGTGGGCCTCAGGACTGGGAAGAAACAAAAATAAGTGAAGGTTGCTCCCACTGCAGTGCTGCCTGAGGAGTCTGAATATCAAAGTCCCCTACTTTTTTCAAATTGCATTGTTATATGAGCACTGACATTTCGTGTGAAACTTGGAAGCGCGTTCCTAGCTAGAAGAGTTCTCTTTCACCCCCTCTTCTGTTATAGGGGGCTATTAATTTGAGATGCAATTAACCTGGCTCTGCATTTGTTCAGTTGATTCAAATTTCTGCCGTGGGATGCTACTGACCCCGTTCTAGCAGGGGAGGGATTGAGGTTCTCTTTTCATGGAGACAGATGGAGTGAAAAGAGAGAAGATGCTGGAAAATCAGGACCAGAATGATGTGGTGCTCTTGCTACTTACTTCCTGGAAGCCATTGCTCGCTTTTGTTACATGTTCATTTCTATGGAAGTCAGTGCTGAAGCCACAAGGCTTTGTAATTTGGAAGCTGAGGGTAAACAGAAGGAGTTTTCGTACAGTAAATGATCAGAGTTATCTAGAACTCTGTAAACGCAAAATTGGACTTAACAGGGTCTAAGTGTACCTGTTTCCACCTCTGTCAAATCCTTGGTTGCTCTGGAGAAGCTTTCTTTTCTAAAAAAAATTCTATGGAAATCAAGATGGAGATGTGTGCCACTGTGTAAGCATATGGTAGTCCAAGGGATAGGTGAACTGTGGAAAATCGTCCTATTTTATGTATAAATACATGTAAATACCTGTATCTTCCTATCTCTCTGTCTATCTCACTCATACACAAAGAATGCATGTGCTAATTGGTGCCTTTCCTGGCTTTCATGGACAAGTAACATGAACTGTAGCTCTAGATACTTACCTGCAAAAAAAAAAAGATGTCATCAAAATTGATAATTCTTATGGTACTGTCACTTGCTACAAATGTGGACGTTTTGGATCAGATTTCCTTTCATATGTCATGCATTTGGGTATTATCAGCAGGGTACGTTCAGAAGTGAATGATGGGGTTACTATGTAGTAGCTGCGGAGCAATTCTCTTAGGCAAATTCAGAATACTGCTGGAAATATTTCCCTCTTACCGTTTCTCCTGTAAGCCAAGTACTCTGTGCACCTGTGTGGGGTGTGTGTGTGCGCACGTGTGTGTTAGTAGCGACATGTTACAGCACGTTAATTTCTTTTGAAACTTTCGGAAGGAAGCGTGTGTGACATTGGCGAGAGTGTTTTTCCTTTCTTCAATTATATTTTTTTTTCTTAGCTCAAGTGAGTTACTGTCAAACGCGTGTTTGAACCACAGACACCTACTTAACAATAGGTAGTACTACTTAATTCTTGCCTCTGTCATTCTTTATCTGCTGTCTTGGGTGCAGCTAATGTTAATCTATCCTTAATGAGTACTCCTGAACGTCAGCCATCCTTTTTAGAGGTCTAGAAGGGTTACAGGGGGGGCTTTTGGTCATCAGATCCTACTGTTTGCTCCATATCAAGTATCCTCAGGAATAGATGGCAGTAAAGAGATAGATGGAGGCTACTGGCCCATTGTGTGGTATGCCGACCTTCTTTTGGTTCTTCATGCTTACTATAATTTGTGTTGCACTGATTACAGGCTTGCAACGATGTACAATATTGACTGCAAAAAGGGGAAGAAGAAAGCAGAAAATAGGGGGAAGTTAATCATAAGAGAGTCGTACTTCTCAGTGCCAAAATAATTTGTACTGATTTACTTGCAGATACATCCTCAGAGAAAGGAGCCCATCCCTGAAAGCCTATGACCTGGAGAAGCATAGACCAAAGGCTACAAACTTGTCTTGCAACTTCATTATTCTGTTTTGTTCTGTTTTTTGCCCCTAGCTTCTTTTCTGCTGGCTATGAGAATCTATTAAAATGCCTTATGATGAAAGATGCAGCTATTGCTGAGGATTCAGAGACTGTCACATCTGGTTTGAATTCAAGAGCTTTAAGCCCAATAGTGTTGTGATATTTTTTGTTTGAGAATTATAGCCCTTTTTATTTGATTTCTGGGAATGATTTGCTGATGTACCATCTCAAATTCTGTACGTTTTTTCTTGGTTGTTTGGTAAAAAGGAAATCTGCTTTACTGTTTTAACACACTTGTATAATTGTAATCGGGGTACTACAGATGCCATGCCAGATAGAAGGTACCTACTCCCATTTTGAGTCAAGGCCAGCTCTGCTTTTAATTTGGCTCTAAAATTATATGAAAAACATAATCAAATATTTTCTATGTACTTATTTGCATCAAAGGAATGTTAATAGAAATACTTCCTGGTTTAACTTCTCAGTGAAAATGGCTTTATATTTCCAGATGATTCTAGTAAAGAATTTCATTGTAGTGAATCTGAACATAGTTGTGCGACCTGTAATCTGAAAATAAAACCTGAGTTTCTAAATGAACCTGTATTTAGACTATGAAACTTTTCAGAAAGTCATGGTGAGGGATGCTCAGTAAACGTTGCCTGCTAATCTGCTTGCAGGATTGGCTTTTCCCTTCAGGCTTTTAACAGGATGGTTATTGGAAGGTAGGTACCAGAAGCAACTGGGATCTCACTTCAAAGAAGGAACCAAGATTTTTGCACCAAAAGAGACTGTACTTTCCTGATAACTCAGAAGTAGTTAATGAGAGTCTAAAGTTTCATAAAAGCACCTGAGCTGTACAAAGACAGAGCGATCAGAGATTGTCTGCGCGTGTGATTTCTCTGTTTGTAACAGGTATTTCCATTTGCATGAACATACAAAGGCCTCTGCATTTAAGTAATAACCTCAAAGGATTAAACGTTTTCGACATTTGATTTTGGACACAATGGGGAACAGTCCATGGGAAAGAATTTTTGTGCTGTTAAATTTTACAGCAATGCTGTTTTTGCCTACACTGATCAAAGAAACAGAGCACTCCTAACTTATAATATGGAATCGAGAAGAACATGAGCAAAGCACCAAGCGAGCCAGTCTCTGGGAAGAAATTGCTTTTTCATGAACTGTTGAAAACCGGAATTTGACAGCAACATTAGCAACAGAATAAACTCCCAAGTCTGCATTAGAGATACGAGCTCTATCTCTGCATGAATATGGAGCTGGCTAGCAGACACTGTTGCAACAGGCAGTTTCACTAGAAAACAATATACTGTGCTACTCCTGATTAGTGATTTGGCTAATAAGGGTGAGATCATGGAAAATGCTAATGCAGTGCCTTCGGAAAATCCAATTATAATGTAACCTAATTCAATGCAAGCTCTCAGCAGGTGACCAGTGTTGTGGGTAGAGCACCCCACACTCAAAGATATAGTGAATTCTCAAAACAGAGGAGCTGCTGTGTAGCTGGTGTGAGAGGCAACAAACCCCCATTTCATTCACTTCAACTGCTCTTCCCAGCTAATTGTGAAGGTTGCGCCTTCCATTTGTGGAGCTTAATTCATTGTCTTATAATTTGTGCGAAGCATTATGTGGCCAAGCAGATGATTCAACATGAGCCATTCACAGTAAGAAAACAGAGTTTGTAGGGCTATCTTGTTTTCTTGGTTTAGTTATAGGCTTTTAATGTTTAGCTGGCTTGAGCCCAATGCTGTAAACCTGGAGTCACACGGATCCTAATAATGTTAATTGTGAGGTGTTGCTTGTACAGTATGATAGAAAATTCGTGTTTTTAAATTCATATAAAATGTCTATATAGCTCTTCCCTCTTAATTTTCCTGTAACGATGTATGTTTCCCAAATGCAGGTGCTGTCATCTATTTGAACTAGCACTGTCAGATTCAATATCCCAAAGGATTTGGTTTCTTCAGTGACCCAGGCAAGCTTGAGGGGGTGAGTTACAGTAGTTAAAAGCAAGCATAGTACTCACAATAAGAATTTTGCCTTTCCCTAGCTGTGCTGAAACTGAGTACAGGAAGAACTCCCAGGTCTTCCTGTAACCTTTTACAGAATCTTCTGGGCGTTTCCCAATCTTTATTTTATATTTTATTTTCCAAACACCTGCCAGATTGTCTATATGAGCCTTTCAATTTTGCTTTCGCCAATATTTTGGTGTATCAGTGGTGAGTGAGGGTATGAATTTTACAGTAAGGACTTTATAGCATGTTTTTGATAGATTTTTTTTCTCTTCCTTTTTTTGTAGAACCTATTCAGGGTTTGGGAACATTAGAGTTACTAGGCAAATTGCTAGTAGAGCAATTCACAGAGAGAATAACTGTGATTTAACTGGACCAGGAACTTACTTGAATACCTGAAGCAGTAATGGCTTGTTGAAGAAACAAGACAAGCATGGAGCGGTCTCATGTTAAAACCTTTCAGCATTTTAAAGGGATATTTACTAGCCCTAAAAATTCCTGGTTCACTATAAAGCTCTGACTTATTCCACAAGGCAATCGATAAGTGCATGTTCCCGTATCAACTACCGTTTTTCCCTTGTCTAACACAACTCCTGATGTGGCACACATGTACGTATATCCTATGTCACTGCTGGGCGGTCTTCTTACCCGGTGTGATGTAAGAGGCACTTAAATAATATCCAAGTGCTGCTTTCTTATAAGAACTCAATTGCCATTTCAGAAATGCTTAAAAGGTGTTAAACTTCTAAATAAATAATAAAGAACTGACCCATAATGGAACTGATTACTCAGCGTGTGAAACTGGCAGGGGATTCCAAATCTCTCTTTGTCCTTGGAAAGCTTTGTTACTTCTCATGAAAGTATACGTGTTGATACAAATTCATGCGGATTCTGAGTGGCAAGTTGTGATATCTAATAGATACTTGAAGTTTTACTGTATAACAAATCTGAGGGAACATTCTATGTTCATTTTGATGTGGTTTTCTGTAGACTATTTTTCTAACTTGAACTTTTTCCATATGGATGTAGCATCATATACTAAATATCTTGTGGAGAATTTTCAGTTTCTATAAATAAAAACAAGTATTCATTCGCTAGGTTAAATTATCTGCTTCCAATATTATTTTCACGTTATTTTCAGTATCATATGCTGGGTTCACTAAATGGTGTTTTGATTACCATGATAGTAATTATCCGACATTAAAATGTGAACATATGTTTGAATTTGTGGAGTTGTTAAAACAAATGCGGTAGTTGAAAGCTTGGGGTCTGCTGGGAATCTTTGTCCCATCTTTAAATTTTTTTATGGAACTAGGCAGATGTGACAGCAGTGTTTTACTGACATGAAGTTGTTTGTTTTGAGTCACCACTGTTTTAATTCCTAGGCATTTTAAACTCTGTGCTTGTCAAAAAGTTAATGTTATTTTAAAACTGTGTTTATCTTCTGAAGGCCTGAAGTGTTATTAGCGACAGTAGTGCCATAGTTTATTACCTTCTGTTTCTTTACAAATTTCTTTCTATTTCTGTGCATCTGTACTGTGTGGTATGATGTTACGGTTTCACTGATAATAACTAAGTTGTCTGTGATTATAAATGTGTCTGTGATTATAAAGAGTATCCCTCCTGAGGCTCAGGCTGTCATCCATTTTAGGAAAGAAGAACTAGTACTTTGAAATTGTCAGTAAAAGTTGGCAGCTGTTTTAATTGTCTCCGATCTGGGTGCAAACAGATGTGGAGTCATGATTAGACTGCAGGCAAAGCACCCAGGGGTGTCCCAAATACACACATTTTCCTATCCTGTAAAGGGAAAGCTAGATAGTACAACTCGGGATGATTTGAAAGATTACAAGCAAAATCTTGGATCGTATTACCTACTTCCTTTAATCCATTCACTAGTTTTTTGATCTGCTACTGCATCTGTATTGCAGGTCTCGCACAATTACAAACCAATTTACATCTCTCCCCTTTCATCTCCCATTCTAGTGTGTAATTCTCTCAGTCCCTCCCAGTTTCTTATCCTTCCCCTTTCTTTCCTGAGCGTGGCTTCTGCGTCTGATGTGATACAACGTTGTTGCTATTGCAGAGTCTTCAAGTTCTACCTGGCAGTCACGCTTTCTTCCTCCTTCAGATCTCTTCCCACTTCCATACTTCTTCTCTGCATGATTGATTTCTAAACACTTCTTTCTTTGCAATGGCCTTTCATAATCTGATGTACCATTCTTATTTGCTTTTTAAAATTAATATTGCTTAGAGAAATTCTGAGCTTTGTCTTCTAGATCTCCTTGCAAGGAATGTCATTCTAAAATCCCATAAGAGGAATTAGTCTGTTATCCTCTGCAATGCAAAGTGTGGTGTTGTTATATATAATCTCATGAATTATAGCGAGAGCACTCCGTCGCAGAAAAGAAGTCATTGTGTTGGTGACCTAAATTATATAAATAGTAAAACCAGAAACGCATCATGAATACTGTGGATGAAAGAATGCCCTCTCCCCTTTGGCTCAGGTTCCTCACACCCAAAGACTTGCACTTCATTAGGTCCCTGTCCTACTTCACCTTCCTACCCGGTAATTGCTCTGTCAGCATCTAACTTTCCGTTACACCATGTTTTGGGGAAATCAGGATTATGAGATGCCCACAATTTTCAGTCTTCATCCCCCTCTCCCTTTCTGTATTCTAGAATAGACTTAGAAAGAGCTGTTATCGTAGGACTGAAACTTTTGGTCAAGCAAAGCTCAGTTGCTCCAGCTCGCCGTATTTTTCCCTCCCCCGTAATAGACTGGGAATAAAGCCTTACCCTAATGAGCTGGAAATTCTCCTAGCATTGCCTTGCCTGTACCACCCTGCGAATGAGCTTAGTATTTCTACTCAAATTGAAGTTCTCTCTCTTGTATTAAAAAAAAAAAGAAAAGAAAAGAAAAAAGAAAAACCTCAAGATTTAAAAACAGTTTCTGTATTTTAACTTTGTTATGAGAATGACAGAAGAATTTCTCTCTGATTTTAGCAGATGCAAGTTTAAAGGTCTATAAGACACCACAGGGTGTAAAGTATTTTTTTGATTAATAAAACACTTTCCCACCAGGAGGCAGGATGCTGGCTAATTCTGTGTTTTCACTTATGCAACAGCAACAGCTTCTCTTCCACCTGCCCTATAAACGGGGAACACCCAGGTGCTTCCTGTCAAAGGCTGCTTATGCAAGAGCAAAGGGCTCACGCTAGCCACAGACCGTGAAATACGCTAGCGGTGAAAGTTGTGCACTTGGGGAGAGCAAAGCTGAGGGTAACGAGGGCAGACAGAGAGGGTCTCTGATGAAACATGTTTACTGGTGCAATTTGTTGATCCATATATGAGCGAAGACCTTGTAAGGCCAAGAAAGTAGATTGTAACTTTGTTGGTCTAATGAAAGGTATCAGAGCAGTAAGCTTCAGGAATCTTCCTATAACTGATGGAAGGGATTTTGAGAAGGGAAAACTCATGGAGTAGAAGGCAGGATGTGTGCCACTAGTGCTTATATAGCTTAAATTAAGAGAGAAGTTACAGCTGTGATGGAAGAGTAAAGCTCCTTTATTGGCATTTTCCTCATCAGTTTGCTTCATTTCATTCAATTATTTGGTTTCGCTGAGAAGAGAGAGGGAGGTGTTTTAACAGTCTTGGAAAAAGTATCCATTTTGTGCCTCCCTGTATTCAGGCATCCTGAATCTCAGCTCTTTGTACTGCAAATCCCAAGTTAACCCGTGTGAGACAATGATATTATACTGTGTAGAATCGGTACAAGTTCTCTGCAAGCTACTCGGAAAACCAGCTCTTTGGCTAAATATAGCAGTCGCTTAGGACAGTTACTTAAGGTTAGGTGTATAGTACCAGCTAGATTATTTCCTGTGATAAGAATTGGGCAAAAACTATTATGTTTCTAAAGACTGAAATATGAACTGGTGGTCTTGTAATTCCTATTTTTTCCCCTCTTTCTCGACAACATCACGTTTACTGTCTGT